CCCCAAAACCCCAAAACCCCAAAACCCCAAAACCCCAAATTTTGAGTACTTGGTTGAATTATTCATTCGAAGAGCTTATTCCTTTCTTAATATCTTCTATCTCTTTTTGGATTGTGGCTCTTTCAAGTCTTTCTTCGTGAATTTGCGATTTCAGTTCTGAAATATATTGTGAAGAGCATTTTGAAGCAGTTGAAAGAGTCTGTTTTTGAGTTTGGAGGGAAGCTAGAATTGGTTTTAAGGATTTAATGAATAGAGATTGGGAAGAGGTTTCGGGAGATGTCAATTTGGTTGTGAGGGGATTATGGGAAGTTGAATTTAGGGGTGGAGAAGTCTTAGAGAAGAAGAAAATATTTGGTTTTTGAGAAATTTCTAGGAAGCTTAGAGATAATTTTGTAAGCATTTTGCACAAAATAAAATTGGATAAAGAAGAACCTATGAATTCATGCACCTTAAAACCTAACACTACGCAATCCTACTCTTCAAGCCCATATGATTACCTAATTCTTGATTTTCTTCCTCACAATCTATTGGATCAAGCTGATATTCATTATCCTGGTCAGCCTCATCATTTACAGTATCATGGATATTATTGATGACAGCTTGAACAATACTCATTTCCTTCTCATCCATTAGTTCGATAGATTTCATGAGTAGTTCCTTAAGATCTTTATCATGCCTATTAGACCTCGCCTGAGAGACTTGATGACAGTCATTCTCAGCTTGCTCCTTATACTCGTTCCTCATCTTGTGTTTCAGCTTTTTCAAAGTCTCTAGCTGAGTCTTTCTAGCCAATTTTCTAGGATCAAATTTCTTCTCCTTCGTCATCCTCTGTTTGCAAGATATTTCGTCAGGAATTTCTTCATTGAAACGCTTTCTTTTGAGTGGAGGCAACTGTGTCGGAGAACCAGCAGCATGCTTAGCCTCCTCTGGGACGAACCTATAACTTTTGGTGCTCCTTCCGATACGACTCCTTTGGGAGCCGTATTGAGAGGAAGCATCTATAGTGCTCTTAGGAGCATAAGCTTGATCGAAGAATGGTTTAGCTTTTGGGAATTTAGGGCTCGAGTATAGCCCTTGATGATCGAGTTCGGATATTAGCTTATCAACCTTGGTTCTACCTGGGCTCATTGCTTTTGTTCTCAACTTCATCAAAGATAGGGATTGCTTCATTTTTGGACTGTGGTTGATCTGTTTAGTTGTTTGGTAAGTAGAATCACTTATTATCTTTCCATATCCACTAACTGTATTTGCATTTGAGGTAGGATCGTGCTCCTTATGGCCAAGGTTTCTCTTAATTACAAACCTTAAGGTATCTTTGTAGTCATATTTCCCGATACTATTAGGGTTGGCTACAGCAGTTTGTTTTGAGTAATCATCAATAACCTCTGCTGTTTTGAAGATATTCGTCATTCTAGACTTGTCTATGATGCATGTTAGAATGTTCATAAGGAATTTACCTTGGAGGCTAGTCATATGCTCTTTGTGGAGCCTTTGCTTCCATGCAAGATGATCTGCTGCGTAGCTCATTTTTCCTAGAACAATTTAATTCAATAAATAAAAGCGTCTGAGGGGTTTTGGGGTTTTGGGGTTTTGGGG